GTGTCAGATAAGAAGTGGCAGCATTCATGAATTCAGCCCAGGGAGCAGAAGGTCTGCAGGCGAGGCCATCCATCTCCACTTTACCAGGCTTGGGTGGTGTCTGGTTAAAAGGCAGGGACAAAATGCTTAGGTGTTGCTTCTCAAATAAACAGTTAAATCCTCGCCAGGAAATTTAAAAAGCTACTCCATTTTGTGTTTGGCATCCAGAGTAAAGTGGATTTGAGGGCATATCATCATCATCATCATCATCATCATCATCATCATCATCATCATCATCATTTCCTTTACTTGCTTGTTATGTGCATGTCCATGAAGTCACCAGGAGCTGACTTGATTTTACTCCACCCCCCCCCCCGGTTCAATTGTGTCCAATTTTCAGAGACTGCCTGGACAAGTCCCTGCAGTTTTCTTGGCAAGGTTTTTGAGAAGTGTTTTGCCATTGCCTCCTTCCTAGGGCTGAGAGAAAGTGACTGGCCCAAAGTCACTCAGCTGGCTTTGGTTTCTAGCCTGATGCCTTAACCACTACACCAAATTGGCTCTCGTTTATACCCAAATTTGCCCTAGTTTAACTGGCTTCCATATTCAAAATATCTTCCAGCATTATAGGTTGTAGAAACAGTTTGATAATGGGATTTAATTTTAATATGTAGATGTCAGCTTTCTTTTTCTTAAGAATCAACATACCTTAAATTTAAAGCATTAAACATCTCTCAGAAGTATATTTCAAAAGAGAAGAGCAGAATTCTAATATTTTGCAGAATTTGAAATATCTGCAAATTCTTACTTGTGTTCTACTTTATGAGGTTCATCCTGAGGTATCTCATTTGTTACATCTGGCAACTTTATCAAACCAGACTGCAATCCATCGGTGGAATGCAATGCAATGCACAATATTATAATCCCTAAAGGCCAAGTCTCAGGTGTAACACATCTCCAGGTAGGAGAATCTCAGCTATCTTCATTTCTCTCTATTGAGCTATCGACCCTTACATGTGCCTATGGGAAGGGTGACTACAGGCAAAGGGGTGCAAAAAAGAAAGAAAGAAAAGAAAACATCAAGATGGCGACTGGCATCATGTGATCAAAGCCCCATCCTTTTTTGTGTGTGTGTTGCAGGGACAGGGTTTCAGTCATATAGTTGTGGCTGCCATCTTGACATTTTTATCTATCCACCCTAGGATATAGGAAATGGGGCCCACCAGAGACTGCTGCCAATCCTATCCAAAAAATGGTAGTGAGATGCACCAAGGGCCCTATAAAACAGGATCCTGTGTTTTAATAGTGTTGATTAGAGTAAGCCACCTATGTCAGGGGAGCCACAAACTTGTCTTCGTTCCCATTCAGAACAGTACTGGATGTTTTTAAGGACCACATCCAGTCAAAATCCATCAAGTCTTCTCCAACCATTCTGGCGTCTGTTCCTTCATATTGGTGATTCACTTTTTCCTGCCATCCACAGAAGATAGGATACTGATCACAGGAAAAGCACAAGGCATGCATTCTTTAGGATGGGGCAAAGCAGCCCTAACTTGGACTGACATCCCCATAATCCCTAGCCTGTCTGAATGGTCATGGGGCATGCTAGTCAGAAATTATGGCAGTTTAACCAAGTTGGCATGTTAATGTTGAAGTATAACATCTGGAAGGTACCATGTTGATGATGGTTGAAGATTTGCAAGTTCTGAGCCTTCAGAGCATCAGCAGCATTGTGTGAAGCTGATGGATGGTTGCAAGAACTGAAAGAGATACATATACTTTATTTCACATTACTTTCAACAATGAACACCCCACCCTTTCATGGGCAGTCAGCTGGATGAGTATATCATTTCTTCCTGAGACCCCATAAACATTTGCCTCTTTCTAAAGCTGGATCAGGGCCTAACGTTTTGTAGATTGTGAAGTTTGTTTATAGCCTGGTTGAAATATTCTCATTGTTGTGTAGGTTTTTCTTTTTTTAAAAAAAATCAAATTGTTTGTACAACTTTGTAACCTTGAGAAGCAAAGTTAAAAAAAGATGTTTTAAATCAACAGAAGTTCTCTGCTTATGTGAGTAACCTTGTGACCAATGTAATCGCTGCATAACTAGCCTAAAACATATGTAGATTCTGGAACAACAAACATGTTTAGAAGAAAATGGGATTCTTGCATACTTGATTATACTGTGTATCATTTAGAAAATCTGGGAATCCAAAAATAGAAAGTTCTGTATGGGCATTTAGACATGATGCTTTTTTCCAGGGACCAGATGTCTTCTTTCCATGAGTCTCTAAAGTGGTGTTTCTCAGCCTGGGCAATTTTAAGATGTGTGGACTTCAACTCCCAGAATTCCCCACATGTAGAATACTGGCTGGGGTATTCTGGGAGTTGAAGTCCACACATCTTAAGGTTGCCCAGGTTGGGAAATACTGCTCTAAAATGCTAAAGTCTCCAATGAGAAGACCATCTTCCTCCACTACCTTGTTGGAGGTGAGCTGTGTTAATCTACAGTAACCCCAGATCAGAAGGAGGCTGCTCGCACCTTTTCAGACTAACATATCCTGACGAAAGCACATGCCTTTTAATCAAAGTAGTTAGACTGAAAAAGTGTGAGCAGCTTCTGTCTGTGAAGGAATTTAAAGCTGACCTTGGGGAAGATATAAGTGAGCTGTTAAGGAGAGACTTGGACAAGAGATTACACAGTCCAGATAGAAGGAAGGGTGAGAAAGAAACTCAAACTAAGCCCATTTTGATTTTGTTTAGCATAAGAGGGGACAGACAGAAACTTTCAAGATTCTGTAATTATACCCTACAACAATAAATTACCATTCCTGAAATCCCTGTGCTGGTTGTTTCTTGACCTGGCCTACCATGAAGGGCTGACACCTTCTGATGTGGGGCCTCCACACTTTGTGTCTGCCCAAAGAGTGATGTGGTAATGCCACTTCCTGTGCTCTGCCCTGGCACTATCCATCTAGCAAGGTGGGGAAGGTATTGCAGCCTGCCAACTAACCCGTCACTTGCAGATTTTTCTTTTTCGCCAGGTCACCTAAACTCCCATTAACTGAGAGGTCTTCTCCAGCTGAATCATATCCTTCATATGAAGTATGAAGATTAATTCTGTCTCATGCTTCTTCCCATATCAGGGCTCTCCTCTCTGGGGATGGAGCAGGTAGGAAAATCCCAGCCCCACATCTCTGTGAGACCCAACCACAGGGAAATGGCAACCATGCTATAAAGATAGTCTCTAACCAGCAGGAGTCTTTGCTCATTCATTCATTTAAAATAATCTTTGGTTACTCAAGTTATTAACATTTTCATCCGAGGTTGGAGAAAGGAAGTTCCCTCAGAGTCCCTTTTTTATAAAACACAAAAGATACAGTCTCCCCGGAGTCCCAGTGACTTCATGGTTACAACCATGCAGCAGTATAGAGCTAGACATTGCTTTCTTCCTTTTGACATCTAGCCTTCAGCTGTAGGGTTTCCTGGTGGTCCCCCATCCAAGTGCTAACTAGACCTAAGTCTCCTTAGTTTCTGAGTCCAGGTGACGCCAACCCAGTGCTGCCACCTAGTGAGAGGAGGGCAACACATATGTACAAATGAAGAGTAAGAATCAGGAATCTGGTAGCATCTTTGCAGACAAGTAAGTTTCATTAAAAGGCATTAGTTTATGCCTTACATTAAAACAGAAAGGTGCTACCAGACTCCTTTTGGTTTTTGATTGCTGTGTACATTACCACAGTTCTCCTCTTACAAAATAAAAAGTAATCAAGGAAAACAAGGATTTTTTTCTCTAGCTAGTATTTCCCATTGGGGCTTTGAGGCTTGCAGTCCAACTCCCAAAGGTGCCAGGTTGCAAAAAAGCCATTCTAGTAAATCACAGTTCACACTCTCTGTAACTGAAAACCTGCGAAATCACCAGTATCTCTTCCTGCGCCTCTGGGTGTGCATGTGTACTCTGCATTGAAACGTATCCTGGCTCTGCCTTTCCCTTTTAGAGCCAAAGGTGTTGGGGGGGGGGGGGTTTTAACAGGGCAGGAGAAGGACTTGGAGACTTTCCTGTCCAACTTATTAGACTGATTGGATTTGTCTCTCTGTCTTGACCTGACTTTTTGCCAGGAATGCTTGCTGAGTTGTTAGAGACCAAGCAGGGCAGTTGGCTAAAGAAGCCCTCCAATTGTTACTGCTGGAGTTTGTTGCTAGAAGCTCCTTTAAAAATCTTGTGTGATGGAGATGATAGATAGATAGATAGATAGATAGATAGATAGATAGATAGATAGATAGAT